TTATATGTAATCAGGGTGTCCAGCAAGAAGTACAAAAAAATATTCCCTGACTTTTCCCTGAAATTCCCTGACTTTTTCTAACCTTTTTCCAATATTTCTTTAATAAATATTTAATATTAAAAAAATGAAAAGTATAAATTATTAAAGTATTTTTAAGATAATAAAAAACATTTTATTTATTAGCTTTATTCACTTCTTATTGCACCAGAAAGTTTAAAAAATTCATAAAAATGTTCATTTTTGGCAAATTTTTAAAAACTTCCCTGACTTTTAATCAAATTCCCTGACTTCCCTGACCGTTGGACATCCTGGTAATATAATACAGAGTATTTGTTTTTCAAAAAATTAAAATTTTTTTTGCTTTCTAAATATAATTTTCACTTTTTTGTCATTATTTTCTTTGAGTCAAGAAAAATGGTTTTTATTTAAAGTAAAAAGAATATATATTTTTTTTAACAAAAGAAAATTCACTTTCATAAAATATTTCCATGGAATAAAGAAAACAACTGTTATTCTCTGGTAATAAAAAGAAAAAGTTGAAAACTTCCCGTCACAAATGGCAAGAGATTTTTTTTTTTTTTTTTTAAATATATAAGTTTTTTTTTCATCAAGGCAATTTTTATAATCAATTCAAAAGCTTGTAAGGAAATCCTTTTCTGATACAGGAAGTGAAGTGACTTCGATTTAAATGACTTTCCATCGTGCACTGATTGAATAGCAAAGTCCATGTATATTCCAACGGTCAACTCAAGGGTGTTATATACGCTTAACTGCATTTATTCACGTATTTATATATGAATCAGTTTCCTTCAATAAATAATTTACGTCTATTTCACATCTTGCAAATTATTATTTTCTTTTCCTTTTTCTTTCATTCAGTCTGATTCGTGCATATATATATATTCACGCAACAAACTGGATTTACCTTTTCAATGTGTCATCCATAAACGAGAAATATTTTTTAAATATTTTTTTTTCTCCTTTTTTTAATACCTTTCATTTTGCCTGACATATATTGAAACGTGAGTCATTTTTTAAATTATGCTAAATACAGATTATTACTTCAACCATATACTAAGTATAACAATTTTTTAAGCACAGGACAACCTTGTGACAATTTGAAATTAATATATATATATATACTAGTTCTTTTATTTAAAGTTTTTTTTCACTTACTGGGTATATACAATGTTTTTTCTTTAAAGTTAAAAAAAATATTTTTCTTTTGTCCTCTTATGATAATGACGTTATATAATTATAAAAGATTGATTATATTAACAATATAAATTATTAGCTCTATATTAAAATGATCACATATTGTCAATATTACATCGATTCTAAGTTTATGTATATATTAATTTAATTATTTGATTTTTATATCAATTGTAATTACTATCGATAGTTGCTACTATATCGATTTTTTCTGATACTGCTTGTTACTAAATATCGATTGTAACAATTATCGATTTTTACTAATATCGCGCGTTATTACTATCGTTTATAACTAGTATCTATTGCTACTAATATCGATTATAACTATTATTGATTGTTGCTAGTATCAATTGTAACTACTATCAATTATACTAATTACCAATTGTTACTCTTATCGATTTTTACTAATACCGATTATTACTAATATCGATTGTTATTACTATTGATTGTTATTACTATCGATTATAACTATTATCAATTATAACTAGTATCGATTGCTACTCATATCAATTATAATTATTATCGATTGTTGCTAGTATCGATTGTAACTGCTATCAATTATAACAATTATCGTTTGTTACTATTATCGATTTTTACTAATACCGATTATTACTAATATCGTTTGTTACTACTATCGATTGTAACTTTTATCGAATTTTACTAATATTGATTATAACTATTATCGATTTTTACTAATATCGCGTGTTACTACCATTGATTATAACTATTATCGATTGTTGCTACTATCGATCGTAACTACCATCGATTTTTACTAATATCGATTTTTTAACTGCTATCGATTTTTTCTAATATCGACTGTAAAAAGATTTCAAAATATTAAACTCCAAATATTTCTTTTTCTAACCGAATTTTTGTTGCTTTTCATGTAAAATTTAAAAATAATAAATAAAATAATTATGAAGTTAAGTAGGAATAAACCAATATTAAAAATCTTTATCAAGTGAAATAAAAAAATTTTTACCCTAAAACAAAAAAAAAAAAAAAAATAGAACAAAAAGGAAACAAATTTTTTTTTTTATGGTGTTAAAGCTATGGGACAAGTTTTGAATGTTTATTCCTGGTAACAGAAATTATTTATGTCTGTGTTTATATATCTGTATGCATGAATGTATGTGTGTGAATTAATGTCGTTGAACGCTGCCAAATATCTTGACGCTTTACTCCCTCGCTAATTTTAGGTCCTCTTGAATGAAACACACAAGTCAAGGTGCGCGGACTTGGAGCCAAGTTTCCTCTTTTCTCAGTTGTATATACTGCGTGGCCAATCTATAGAGCGCGTTTTCGAATGTCCACACACAATCGCTCTGAGGTCAAAGACCCAGCTTCTTGGCGAAACCATCGTAAAGCAAAAGTTGACTGCGCGAATTGCGTTGGGGCACCAAAGGAGTGTAACGTGTATTAAGGATGCGAAAACAGAAGCAAAATTTGGTTGAAACAAACAAAAAAAGAAAGAAAGAATGGAAGAAGAAAACTAAATTAGTGCAAACTATATATATATAGAGAATATGGGACATAAAAAAAAATTCTACAAGAAAAAAAAATGAAATATTTCTACTTTAGTTTAGGTAAATGACCCACTGATGGGCGTTAAGTGAAATGAAATTAGACAAAATTTACACGTTCACTATATTCGTTTCATTTCTAAGAAAATAAATATTTTATGTTTTTAAATTTTAACAATTTTTGAACAATGTAAGAATTAAATATAAAATGAACAATTATTTATTATAAAATAAATTATATTTATTTTTTTCTACTCTCTAAATCTGAATTAGTACACGGAGAAAAAAAATTTAGTGTTTGCAACAAAATTGTTTGGTTAGGCAATTTTGGTTCTTGTAACCAAATTTTGGTTGGCTGAAACAAAGTCGTAGAGTTATCTCAACCAAACATTTGGTTAGGCCAACCAAATTATTTGGTTGAACATTTTTAAATTCCAACCAAAATTTGGTTATGACAACAAAATAATTTGGTTAACACAACAAAATATTTTGGTCTAAAAAACCAAATGATCGTTTGTTGTCCTAACCAAAATTTGGTTGCGACAACCAAATAATTTGATTCGCTCTCAGTTCATAGCTTAAGAGAACAGTTAGTTTAAATTTCTCACAAGGATGGGTAGTCCAGTGTTCAGAGCTCCCGATCTTCAGTTTTAAAACAGAGGTTCGATCCCAGGCGGAGATGAGATTTTTCAAAGTCCACAAATATTTCAATTGGATAAATATAAATTCAATGTTAAATTAATAATAAATAAATAATGAAATAAATAATAAAGATAAAAAGAAAAGAGATAAGGTAGAATAAAATTTTTAATTATACAAAAAAAGCTGTTTGTTTGATCAACCAAACATTTTTGTTGACCTAAAAAAACAATTTGGTTGAGCTAACCAAACATTTTTGTTATGCCAACAAAAAACACTCAAACAAATAGTTTGGTTGCTTAAATACCAACAAAATTTTTTTGTTACCCCAACCAAATTTTGGTTGCTCTGACTAAACATTTTTCTCAGTGTAGTTTTCTCCTAATGAAAGAATGCTTATTCGATTACCAATTGAATTAGTAACAGTTTTTACTCTTTTTTAGTAGAAAACTACTAATTGCTAGTAGAAAACTACTAATTGCTAGTAGAAAACTACTAATTCATGGAGTAAATCGGTTTACTAATTTGAAATAGTAAAAAATACGACTTACTCCATGAATTAGTAGTTTTATACTAAAAATTAGTCAAAACTGTTACTAATTCAATTGGTAAACGAATACGCACTCTTTCATTAGTAGAAAACTACTAATTCCGATTTAGAGAGTACATTAATAATTATATGATAATTATTATACTTAAAAAATTAATAATGAATTTAATTATTATAATTACCTCCTAAATGAAATAAAATTTGCGTCATTAAAGTTAATAATAATTTATTATCATGAATAGAATATTATAATATATAATTATTGTTATAGAAACAATATTAGTTCTGAATAACTGATAATTATATAAATATATAAGAATAAAAATTATTGTATTTTATTCACAAATGGAAAAAAAAATTAAATTTAATTGAAAACAAGTTTTTATAATTATCATTATCAGATGAATATATATATATATTGATATCTGAAGAGAAGTAAATTTGATTTGAAAGTAGCAAAAGAAGAAAATGGGCTTTGAAGTAAATTTGAGAACCTGTTTTTCTTATACATATATACCGAGTTACTCAATCCCAAAGGGCAAGACATTTGCATTAGAAACAAATAGAGTTGGCAATTTCCAGAGACGATTTCCATCGTCGTCGTGAGGCTTTCTCATACACATAAACACACACACACACACACACAGCTCGTTCACTAGCTAATAAAATTGATCAACATGCATATTGATTACTATCGACTGATATGTTGGCATAACTACCAAGATTACGCATAAAAACGTTCAGCTCTGCGCCTTGTTAATGTACAATTTCAACGTTAATTTAAATTCATTGCAACTATTTACTGACAATTTTATATTTCTCATGTGTAATTTTATATTTTTCATATTAAACTTAAAAATAAAATTTTAAATTCGATATAATTTTTTTTTTTTCAATTAAAATATTAAATTATTTTCTATAATTTATTTATTTACATAAAAAGTTTTTTAAAAAAAACATAGATTCTTAATTTAAATAAAATATTTATTAATGTTTAATTTAATAGAATATTTTTATAGAATAAAAATTCTTACAACTAAATTGGGAGAGGGAAAAAAAATGAATAACACTTGGAATATTTTGTAATAATAAAATGTATTAAATAGGTAATGTATTGTTGGCAATACTTATCAAACTACATACATACATGAGACTTATGTGTTTGTTTTTCAGAAAATGCAATGAAAAAAAAACCCTGTCGAGAGAGAGAGAGAGAGAGAAAGAAAGAAAGAGAGAAAGACACTTGGGTCAGGAATCGTTTGATCCTCAGCAGTAATTCTCATTAAACTGACACCAGCCGCGTGAGAATACGATAAAATTTTATTCCACAAGTAAAAAAGATATTTTGCTGAGAATGACAAAGTTTTTTTTTTTTTCTTCTTTCTCTCTTTTCTCACAAATCAACAAAATTCAGCTAAGGCACATCGTTAAAGGCCTCTCTTCATTTTTCAATAATAATACACACAAATCAAAAAAAAAAAAAAAATCACAATAATTTTGAATAATTAATAATCATTTTCTTTTCACACTCTCAACATTATTTTTTTCCTATTGCCTGACTTGACTTTTTCTCCTTTGACAACGAAAAAAAATCTTATGTTCTTTTTTTTTTATCACGTTTGTGGTCCCGTTGCGATTTTATGGATGAAGCCGTTCGAACCTCTGATCTTTTATAACTATTCACTAAAAAACAAAAACACTTGTGTCAATTATTTATTTTTCGAAAAAAAGGGAATAATAATTTATTTTAAAGAAACAAAAAAATGTATTTCTCTTTTTGCTAAAAATAATTTTTTTTTGTTTGTTTTTTTCTTTTTATTAAAAACAATTTTTCTTCGTTTATAACAAAAAGAATTTTGACTCTTCCAAAAGAAAAAAAAAATATATATATTATAATCTCACATCCGGGAACATATGGGAAAGAGTTGAAAACCGTGTTCTATCACAGAATAAAGAAATAAATATGATCTTCGCATACACAACTAAAACTTTAACTTTGGATTCGAACGACTTCCGTCCAGCCTATCAGTTGGCTCCCATATGTGTTTTATAACATTAACTATACTTTTTTTTTTTCATTCGTCGAAGGAAGCACGAGATTTTTTTTACAATTTTTATTTTTTCATTCACAATACACTTCTTTCTTGATTTTTTTTGTCATCTCCTTTTTCTCACATATACTCGCTCAAAATCGTGGACGATCGACGCATGTACGCGTTTTCTATATATCACAAAGGGAAATTAAGTATATCATCATCTTTACGTTTAAATTCTCCGCTTTATTTGTTTGTTTTTTTTTGTTTTGTTTTAAATATACAAAAAACTAGAGGCCACAAAAACTAGAGCAAAGGGGGAGATATTTTCGTGAAAGAAGTATCATCCCTGCTATGGATCACAGTTTCATTCACTTTTTTTTTTTTAATTATTATTTTAACGGAAATATAACAAATATTTTTACGCCAAACTAAAACTAAACTTTCCAAAACAGATTTGTAAAATATAAATTAAATTAAAAAAAAAACAGATAGAGAAAAAAAGAATTGCAGGGATGATTATTCTGTCTCCACAAAAAAGGGCTTCCGAGAATAGCTGAAGAACATCCGGTTCCTCTGAGAGCCAAGAGATCGACTTGCACATAACATGCGCCTGTTTTTTTTTTTTTTTTTTTTTTTTATCATTTTTTTTCAGTTTGCTCGTGTATATCTGTGAAGAACGCAGTATAAAATATTGTATAAATATATAAATACGTTTGAAAAAATAAATATATTAAATTAAAAAAGAGACGTACACGTATAGTATATTATTCATTAATAATATTATATATATATATATTTATTTATATATAGAAGTGGTCAAGTCTATAACAGGAAAGCGCGCTGCTTGAGCGTCACCCTTACGTTTCTTTTTTGTACTTTTTTTTTTGTTTTCTTTTAAATTATTTCGTTTCAAGTGAGAGAAAAAAGAAAAGTAATAAATAAATAATATTAATAATAAAAAATAAATAAAGAAAAAGACGCGCGCATTAAAATTAATCAGATGCATGCAATTCTTTCTAATAAAAAAAAAAAAAAAAAAAAAAACAACAAAAAAATCCGAGTCAGAATCAACGGATAAAATTCTGCATACGCAATCCTTTTCAGAATTTTTGTTTTGCATCTGGCGATAAACTAAATTCAAATATTATATCAATTATTTTGTATACAATAAATATATATTAATTTAAATCGAGTTGAAAAAATTAAGAAAAAAAAAAAATATATATTATATATATATATATATATTCGCAAGGATAATGCAACCAAGCCCGCGCGCTCGTAGTGTACTGGGGCGCCATTTTTTTTTTTAAATTTTTCAATCTTATTTCATGATCTCAACACATGGCATAAATATATAATCTTGGCGTGTTTATTATACTCGACAAATAGAAAGGGGAAAAAAAAGAAAGAGAAGAAAAATAGATATAGAAAACTAACGAATTGCGAATCAGTTCTTTTCCGCTTAAATAATTATTATTTCCGAGACACTTTTTTACCACGCGCGCTCACGAAAGAAATATATAAAAACATTTTTTTTTTTTTTTTTTCATTCTCCCATATTTCTTTGTTTCCGTCTGTTCAATTCCCTTCTTCCTTTGGCCCTATAAAAATTTTGCCCTCCCTCCCCAAAAAAAACGACTCGAATTAAAAAAAGAACTCTCTTTGAGAAAACACGTTTTATCACAAACGTCTCACACAATAAGATATGGAGAAGAAAAAAAAACTCTTGAACTCTCTTAAATACTATAATATATAATAAAAAAAGCGTGTTAAAAGTAAATTATTTTGGTAAAATATAAAGTGGCAAAATCGAGCCTAGGAAGAAACAAAAGAGCAAAACGGGAAAGACAGACGAATTATAACATAGAAAAAAATTTAAATAATTAAATAATATAATATAATAATATAATAATAATATAATAATAATAATAATAAAATAATAATAATAAAAATAATCTACTAAAGTAACTTGAATATGTATAGGAGATTTTTTTTCATAATTGCAAAAGTGTTTTCTTTTTTTAAAAAAGTCGTCTGAGAAAATGTTTTTGTGAAACATTTAACCCGTTATGGAAGTGTGACAATGGCGTATGATAATAATAGAAAGTAATAGTGTAATAGCGTAACAGTACACCTAGAGTAGTAGTAATGGTTACAATAGCAATATTGCTAATGAGAAAACGGATGATTGGACTGACTTGATTTTTTTTTCTTTCCCCAAAGAGCTGACTGATAAATATGATCAAAAATTGAAGAATGCAACTCTCATCGGAAAAATTAGCGCTTTTGCAAAAACATAATTCTTATGGGATATCATAAATAGAGTATACTGCGCTTTTTAAATCCCGACGCGTATGCGAATATAATAATTAATAATAATGTAATATAATAATAATATAATAATATAATAATAATATAATAATAATAATAATATAATAATAATAATTGTTAATCGTGAAAATAATATTAATATAAACTAAATCTATAACATTTTGAATCATGTATATAATTTAAACGAAAACATTTCTTCTTCGTATCGTAAGAAAAGAGTATATGTACAGAATGTATTCGATTTTCGAAAACCACGTCACTTAGGCACTTTCTTTTTATTTGAATTATTTTTCGTGATATTTCAAAGAGATTTGATGTTTTTAATTCTAATTTTGAATAATGATTATTATTTTGTTTAATTTCAATTAAAATATTGAATTTTATTTTTAAAAACGATTAAAATAATTTTTTTTTTTTGTTTTTTAAGGTAAATACCTAAAAAAAAATATTTATTCTCAATTGTATTTTTAAAAAATATTTCAAAAGTCGAATTTTTGAAAAATATTTTAAACATTAAATTTTTTGAATAATATTTGAAATCACAAATTTTCGAAATAATTATATCAAACAATGAATGTTAAAAGAAAATTGAAATATCATTTTTAAAAAACAATAATTCAACTATTGAACTTTTTTTTTTTCAACAACGATATTGAAATATATTTTTAAATAGAAATTAAAATACACATGAGATTGTTTTGAATTTTGAAATTCAAATTGAATTCTAAGATCTTGGAAAAATTAAAAGCAAAAATTCTCTTTGAAAATCACGTTAATATATACCATGCTCTCCTATCTCGCTAGAAATAGAATTATTTTTCAATTAAAGTAAATATTTCTATTGCAATAGTTACATATCACATTTTTTTTTTATATATGGGAAAGAACATGTTACCATGAATATTTAATGACCTCCCCTTCGCACTCTATGGCGTTTTACGTGTTGAGAATGCGCGACATGGCTTGGTTCACTCCCGCAAAATGAAAGAAAAAAACTCCATCGTTAAACTTTAGAGTTTTTTTTTTTTTTTTTTTTTTTTGAAAAAAAAACTATTTTTTCGTTTCGTTATTTACCAGTCGCGTATTCCACTGTCACTCTCGCGCATTCTCTCTCGCCCCGTGATCATCATTCACGCAACTCATTCACACGTATCACACTCTCTCGCATTTGGAAGACAATCGGGAGTTCCCCTTTTAATTATTTTTTTTTTACTGAATCGCATTATTCATTCATCTTTGATTTTCAAAAAACCGACAGCGGAACGCTCTACTTGAAAAAAACGTTTTCTTTTTTTTTTTTTTTTTGAAATATATTTATATTGCAACGTCTCACCTGCCCCGAATTATTAGAGGAATCCTCACTAAGAGGCAATTCGAGAAGGAAGAAACGAGATCGGAGGATTTCTATAGGACTAAAATTTTTCCTCTTTTTTGTTTCTTCTCATATTCCCTCTTGATAATGGTGTGGTCCCTCAAAAATTTCATTCGGATATAAATTTTTTTTGTGTATAGTCCTTGTTTAAAAGAAAAAAATTCCACAGAAGAAGAGAAATCAAACTTTAAGATGATTTTTCCAATTTGTGGGATGATAATTAGATTTTAAGATTTTCAAAAGTGGAACGAGTGCTGCTGATCCTGTTGAATACGGGAAGTCGTGATTCGCCATTTGATGAGAGTGGTGATGGTGTTCGTGGTGTGAGATCATCAGAAATGGGACTGCAAATGCCTTGTGGACTTGGACTTTGTCTTGTTGCTAGTAGTCCAAAATCTTGACCAAAACTAAATGGTGTTGGTGCAATAATACCGGTTTGATCGTCACTAAAGAAGCTGGCCATTGAATTTGTTGGCGATTGACTGAGACTTGATGATGGTGAAATTGAATCGGCAGTACTACCGAGGGAGAATGTTGGACTGAGGTTCAAGGGCTTTGGTCTTGGTGCACCAATCACAGAACCCGTCGAGTGCTGCTGATGGTGTTGATGTAGATGGGTGATATTTGCCAGGGTCAACGAATTGGTCCTGAGGAGTGGCTGATTGTATGAAGTTGCAGCAGCGGGTGTTCCAAGACTGAGTGAGTTTGCTCTCATGAGTGGTGTACTGGCAGCAGCAGCAGCGGCGGCCGCAGCGGCAACGGCAGCAACCTGAGGCGATGTGGCGATTTGCTCGAGGAGACTGACACTGACGTTTGTGGCGGGACCATTGCCGGCAATAAGAGGATTCAGACCCATTATGTTGGATTGAGCGGCGGTGGCTGGCGCAGGAGCAGCGTTCACCTTTTGATTGTGAATCGTGCACAATTCCTCAAAGTTGTGCACGAAGTGACAGCGTGGCCCGTAGGGGCAAAAGCCTATCGTGTGAAAGGTGCGGCAGAGTTCGGTCTTGTACTTTGGATGACGAGCGAGATTTCTGAGTTCATTGAAGCCGTGGGCGAATTGGCACTTGTCGCCGTACTTACAGACGCCACTCTCTTCAAACGGTCGACAGAGCTCGGTCTTGTAGCGTGAGGTCGGCTCACTCACGCTGCGGTCAAGCTTCCTGTGCTGCTCGATCAGATTCACCAGGGATGTGTAACTGCGACGCAGGGGCGCGTGACCATTGCCATTTGAATTTGTTGAGGGATCTTTCTTTGATGGTGCAGCATTCTGTAAAAACAAAATCAAAAAATATTCATTAATATCATTATACGAATTTATAATAAATATATCTAATCTATCACGGAGAGAAATAGATGGTACATATATATATATATATATACGGGCAAATTCTATCAGTTACAATCCAGATTGTATGGAGTAACATATTTTTGATGGTACCGGATAACATCTACTTTTAACCATCAAAATTTCACCATTCATTTCTCTCAGTGTATATTTTAAAGTTTTTAGTGCTAAATTGTTTTTACGCTTCTGATGGAACTTTCCGTTAATGCACTTCGAATGGAAATAATAAATTAATGCAGTTGCAATTAAATATTAACAACAATAGTAATAGACAATTTGTTACTTGCTCTCAACACGATTTCTCTCCGATCATAATTCTCGCGCCTGAATTTATTCAGTATTACAACAACAGAATCATTCGTCATAAATGCAAATAATAGTCTCTGCTTTATGAGTTTTCCACTAATGTCAATATAACTTACAATTATACATATTTTATGAACAGGATATAATAATTTCAAGAGTATACATATATATATATATATTTACACTTAGAACAAAATTAACGAGACCTTGAATTTATTATTCAAAACCTAATCATTATTATCACATATAAGAAAAAAGCTAGAAAAATTCTTTCTCAAGAGAAAAAAAAATTTGATAATCATTTTTGCGAAGGTTTTCTATATAGTTTTACAGATATATGTTTGCCCTTCATTTGAAACAATCAAGAAACACTTTTAGTCAATCAGACTCCCCTTCAGTGCTCTTTGAAGGGCTTCAAAAGACGATGGAGAGTTTGAATATGAAAATAATAGAGTATGATTGGAGCAATTGATAATTGGTTGTTAGATCAGTGTGCCTCGAGGTCTGTCAATGAACTCTATATACTCTCTAAGAAATACGAACCGGATTTCGTATTCTAAACCAAAGGTCAAATTAAAGCCGGAAGTTTAGTCATCTTTTAAAAAGTCATTAAGCTATATATTATTTGCGACCTTGAACTATCGACCAATTTCGTTATACAAAGAGGCATCAATTTACACATCAAATACATATATATATATATATATTGAAAATAAGTATCTAAAATAAAAGAATGAAAAAATTAACCATGTTTCTTTTTATAAATTATAAATAGAAAATCTATTTGTTTAAATGAAAAAGTAAATAATTGCTTTGTTATTAAGAGTCCTGTTTTACTTCCGTGCATCTCTTTCTCAACAACAGCAACGAAAATTGACAATTTCGAATTTTTGGACCATTCCAAGGCCTTTTAAGCATCCGGGACGCAATAGCTTTCTCAAACTTTAATATACAACTAAAGTTGATGGCGCCAAGCCGAGAAAGTAGTCAGGATCAGTTGAAATACCTTTTTTTCGAAACATATCTCAAGGCCACACAAAAATACATAATATTTTATATATACAAAAAAAATTGCTTTAAAAAATCATATAATCTCTCTATATATAACAAGGCTATTCAAAGTAAACTGATACTATCCTCAAAATTAGGTTCGTTAAAAATTGTCTTTCTCTTTTTATGCCTAAAAAAATTTTCAAAAATATCGCCGCTTTTGAATGTGTATACAAATTGTAACACAGCTGTTCGACGATGCCTAAAATTAGTTTTAAAACTTCATTCCTGTGGGAAAAGAAAAAAAAAGAAAATTCAGGATCTACCGAAAATCTGTTTCCAATAAATGTCAAACTTCTTCTATTATCGAAGAAGTGAAGTTTAAGAACTGACACAGCTGGATATCTTATTACGAGATTCTAAAACCGGATATTCAACCTTCACTAAAATGAACGAAAGAAAGTGAAACAGAAAGTGTCTGTATAAGCGCGTACAAAAAAAAGGAATTAGAAATTGTTACTTTCATCTCACTTATTGAATTTTTTTTTATAGTTTATGTTGCTGAATTTAAAATGCCAATTAAAATATCTCATTCAGAATTATAAGCATTTATATTGGAGATAATTTAAGTATTTCACTCTTATATAGAACAAAAGAAGAGATTTTTGCTTCTATAATAAAACTGATTTAAACATATATAAAATAGATTCTAATCTTCTTTTCAAGTTAATGGAAAAATTATTAAAACTAAATTTGTTTTGCCATATAGTAGAGTGTGATAAAATCTATTAGTGTATTATAAAATTCAATAGCTTATCAGTTTCAAAAGATCACTTCATTCATGTGATTATGAAATGTCGACCCACACGAAAAAAAAATGGTATCACGTTCGCACAAGGTTATCATGTCTCGTATATTTTCAATTCTTCATTTCATTCCGTAATTTAGAAGTGCGGTAATAATCCCAAAGAGACATGAACACACATACAGTTTGAGTCTCTCTCACTCACTCTCTTAGTGTTGAATTTCAGAAATGTAAATTGTAGCAATTATGTAAATACTACTTCGAAAAAAAGAGAAAAAGAACTGCTCATTACTTTTCAGTCACTAGAAATCGGATATTCCATATAGTGAATACTAATAAGTGTTCATGTAAATTTTAAAGCTTCTGCTTTTTTTCCCAATTATCGTATACTCGCTTCACGAGTCACTCGATAACACTCCTTACATAATCCATATTCACGTGAGATTTCTGAATGTAATTTGCAAGATCATGTTATTTCATTTTTTTTGGTTAAATTCCACTTGAAACTTGAAATATCATTTGCAAAATTGTAAACCCATTCAATTTTTTATTATTCTTAAAGTATTTTTTATTTTAAATATCAAAATCAATTGTTAAAAGTGTCTTTAAATAAAAATTGCGCAAAACGAGAACCTTTTAAGATTTTCCGACAAAGATATACACTCGTTTAACGGATTCGCTTCGTGAAAAAAAATTTCTTTTTCAAAAGTGACTGGAAGTTTCTTTTCAAAAATTTCCAAGGGGTTCTAGCTCCGGCTCTAATGGACCAATTATCAGGCACTACCATCTTTCATTTCGAAATGCTACACTATACAAGAAAACCATTTTCCCCAAATTCGTCACAGGTTTTTCGGATTAAAAGAAAAACCTTTCAACAAGTTTTACTATAGGTTTCTTTTTTCTTTTTTCTTTTTTTGAAGATTTCGGCGCAATTTTGATTTCGATACGCCTTGCCATATAATTCAATTAGAATTTAACCTTTAGAAAAAGAATATTAGCCTTATCGAATATCAATGTCGTTAATTTGTTGTTAATCTGATGATAAATGTTAAAAGAAGAACTTTCACTGTTCGTATATATTATAACACGAATCCCGAGAAGGTTAGAGGTGAATTGCAGAAGCGACAGAAAATCGAGTCACGGTTTTGTTTCAGGAACGTCATCGTGTGTCGTTTGCGCCTTTGTAAGATGTAACACATATACACAGAAATATTACGTAATCGGCCTGCTCCATACTGAAATCCTAATTACGATAATTATCATCGTCTCACTCCGTTCTCAACATTTTATAAAGAAAGTAACTCGATTTCTTAAAATAACGAGTAAATTTTTACCCAGCGGGCTACATGTGTGTAAAACTTTCATAACAACTTTCCATGGTTTTATAAAAAAAAAAAAACCTTTCATTTATTGTAAATTTCTCTTTGTCAAAAAAAGCTCATGAAAATAATTTTAAAATTCACTTTTGTCTAAAAAACATTTAATTTGATAGTGCTTATAATATTCGAATCTAATTGTATAAAATAGAGACGCTTAAATATCTTTTTCATCAGCACGTGACGTTTTTTGATCACAAACGTTTTCTCTCTGTCTCTCCTTATCATTCTATAAAGAATAATTGTAGGTTTGCGTAACTCAGAGGACAGGTAGTCATTTCCGGTTGTCATTCGACAAAGTCGTGTCTCATACAATGCATTTGCACGTAATTAACAATGGGAGGTCGACAACTCGATTACGGGACTAATTATTATCTTATTATATTATAAAAAAAAAAAAAAATTTCACCTACACATATGTTTAATATTTTCATTTTGAAATTCCAAATAAATATAATTAGAAATCTCACATGGAGAAAATTATTAGTTAATGATGCGACTAACATTTTTTAAATATCGTATAAAAAAAATTAATTCCCAATTTTTACTTGCAAAAAAAAACGGTTTTGGTATTTTAATATTTTTCTATTTAATTTAAAAAAAAGCTTATTACGACCATTTTTTTGAGTGGCAGTTAGCAATAGATAAAAAAAATTAATCAAAATTTTCACAAGTATAGATTAGATATTTTTTAAAAGGTTCCGTGAGTCAATTTCTATATATTCATATTCGATGCTAATATCTAACACGGATATATATATTTAGAAAAAGAAAAAAAACATCTGCTTCAATATTGGTTTATTAAAAATTACAATAATCGAAAAGTGTTTTAATTTAGAAACAGTTGGCGATAAAAAAAAAGAAACCCACCTTCAAGTGTGGAATATATATTTTTCAAGGGAATTTTAAAACGTCTTTTCTTTCCGGTATACATATATATATATGGCATTAACAAAAAAAAGACTACCTTTTCCAAATTCACGATCCCAAATAAAATTTAATTGTATTTCATTCATTTGCCATTAAAATTCATCCACTTTTCATTTTGAAATAAAATTTTCAATTTATTTAGATAAAAATTATCTATATTTTTTTAAAGTGTAAGAATATATTATAATACAGTATAATATAAAATATAATAATAATAATATTATAATAAAATACACTGTGAAATTATATAAAAATAGTGGGCACATTATAATAGAGTGCGATATAAAATAAAGTTGTAAATGGACTTCTGCTTGGGGGATAATTAAAATATTGCGGAATCCTGATGGGTAAAAATACGAATGTTTTTTGAGATAAAAAAGTTGTGCATTGCAGGAAAAAGGGAAGGTTTCCCCTTCCGGCGCGCAAAAGAGTGTGTCTTCTCTTTTCTCCCCGGGCAAAGTGAGTTTTTTTTTCTTTTTTCTCCCTTTGTGAGCGAGGCTTTGCACGCAACCAAG